GTCGAAAATATCTGACGGTTATATTTACCGGTAGTTGTTATTATCAACATGAATGGAAGAAAGAGTCAAAAGTAGACATTACACCTGACTAGTCTTGACTGCATTTCACACAATATATATTTTGCATGTGGAAAAGGCTTACATAAAAAACCTAAAAGTAGCTTTGCAATCTAAGGTGAATTCTACCACCACCAATAATCACTGGATGAATAGACAAGCAGCCTATCGGCTGAGATAGCTCCGCTGTTAGCAATGCACATTTCAATTAAAGAACTGAAGACATCATTAGAAAATGAACAATATGTATAGTATCAAAGCAATCGAACTTGCAGTTTTTAACAAGAAGTCGAAAATATCACTTTCTACCAAAAATGACAAAAATATTCACCGAAATTAGAGAATTGAAGATATCATCACAAAATGAACAAATCTGAGAGAGGTCCACATGTAGTACCTATATATGTAATATCAAAGCAATCGGACTTACAGTTTTTAACAAGAAGTCGAAAATATCACTTTTTACCAAAAATGACAAAAATATTCACCAAAATTAGAGAATTGAAGATATCATCACAAAATGAACAAATCTGAGAAAGGTCTACATGTAGTATCTATATATGTAATATCAAAGCAATTGAACTATTGGTTTTTAACAAGAAGTCGTAAGTATCACTTTTTACCAAAAATGACAAAATATTCACCAAAATTAGAGAATTAAAGATATCATTACAAATGAACAAATCTGAGAGAGGTCCACATGTAGTACCTATATATGTAACATCAAAGCAATCGGACTTGCGGTTTTTAACAAGAAGTCGAAAATATCACTTTTACCAAAAATGACAAAAATATTCACCAAAATTAGAGAATTGAAGATATCATCACGAAATGAACAAATCTGAGAGAGGTCCACATGTAGTACCTATATATGTAGTATCAAAGCAATTGGACTTGCGGTTTTTAACAAGAAGTCGAAAATATCACTTTTTATCAAAAATGACAAAAATATTCACCAAAATTACAGAATTGAAGATATCAACATGAAATGAACAAACCTAAGAGAGGTCTACCCAAGGTACATATACACCAAGTATAAAAACATTCAGGCTTGTAGTTTTCAAGAAGAAGTCACAAAAGTAAAACATTGACACGGACGACGACGGACAATCACTCATATGATAAGCTCCGCTCGACAAAGTCGACAGCGGAGCTAAAAATGTCATTTGTATTCTATTAATTTTATTTTTGTCAAGTAACAAATTTGGGATTTTATAAACGCTCTATACAGATAAGCTAATTTGCATATTATAATATTTTATTTGAATAATTCTTCTTGAATTTGTGTTATAAGCAAACCCTTAACATCACCCACTGAACAGGCATAGGACATGATACTCGTAAATCTTAACTTGTTTTTGGGCAAGTATGTATTCACTTTGGGCATTCATAAAAACAAATCAAATAAAAGCATAGATCTCAATATATATGTACTAATAGCAACAGCTGCAGACCAAATGTAATATATACTCCTATTAATACATTATAATCTATAACAGCACCACAATTTCTAGATATTCACAGATCATGTAACATGTCTTGTCATTGGCTGATGCACATGTAAATGTTAAACTGTCCCGATTGGTGGGATTCCTACAAAAACACCTTCATTTTAGATATTGATTACAATCACAGCTGTGCCAGTCATCAATTGATGTACAAAATCTCCATGTGACTTTTTTTATAATCACTAACCGGCATTAGATTTACAACAGACACGTGGAGGATGAATATGAAATTTGGAAATCAGTTTTTCAACTGAGCTGAATGCAGAAGTAAAGGTGTAATTAAGAAAAAATAGGCATTTTATATTCAAAATCAAACTGGGTGGAGATTGGCTGGCCACAGCATGTTCATATAATATAAAGTGGAACAGAGATGTGATCTTATGCAATTTAATTATCTATTATGCATTGTAGTTCCTCAAGCTTATTGATTTGTTTTTATAATGGCATATGTCAGCAGCTTCTGCATTGATTTTGTCACGGCATATGTCAGTAGCTCCTGTATTGATTTTGTCACGGCATATGTCAGCAGCTTCTGCATTGATTTTGTCACGGCATATGTCAGTAGCTCCTGTATTGATTTTGTCATGGCATATGTCAGCAGCTTCTGCATTGATTTTGTCATGGCATATGTCAGTAGCTCCTGTATTGATTTTGTCATGCCATATGTCAGCAGCTTCTGTATTGATTTTGTCATGGCATATGTCAGTAGCTTCTGTATTGATTTTGTCATGGCATATGTCAGTAGCTTCTGTATTGATTTTGTCACGGCATATGTCAGCAGCTTCTGTATTGATTTTGTCATGCCATATTTCAGCAGCTTCTGCA